TCAAATGGCTCCTGGCGGCCTGTTGGACCTTGACAACCCCGCACTGGACACAGACACCTCCTCAACATGTTCGGAATCCTCTGTGATCATGAACCTGCCGGAGGCCCCTTTCATCTGTGAACACACGGTCAGCGATTCCACAGCCGTGGTACGTTCTCTGAGTCCATGCCTGTGGCAGAGGCTTGCTATGCTGGTGCTGAGTTCAGCTCCGTGTGGATTGGGAAGCTGCCTACCACCTGTGTCCTGACCTCAAGTTCATGGTTTAGGGAGCAAGGGAGGGGCTTGTCTGTATAGAACTTCAGTGAAAGGCAGAAGGGGCTCAGGACTGTAGGGAAGATTCAGATCAAGTGCCACCAGAAATTCAGAGGGAAAGAAACATTACTTCCAGCTGCAGGAATAAGCTTGGTGGCTTTTGGTAACACTCAGGCTGGGAGGTAGAGCTTGAGGTGAAGAAGAGGCATTCCACAGAGGGACTAACCCAAGCAAACGCTGCAGGTGGGAAAATATGGGAGGAATGGGCAGCTGCTTTCGTTGATCCCAGCTCCTAAGTCAGGGCTTCTCATGGGTGTTCCTACAGAGCACTATCAGCTTATCAAAACCAAGATTCTGGTCTCATCCCTACAGGGGCTGGGAGGGGCCTGGGACTCTGCACCGCTGACAAATCCCAGGCGATGCTGATGCTGCAGTTCATAGACCACAAGCCGAGCAGCACTGTCCTGGAGTGTGCAGGAAAAATGGAGTGCAACGGTGGGGGAAATGAGCATGGGCTCATTTTCTGGAGGTTCTCCAACATTAGGCTAGTTTATATATTTTTCTGTAAGCAATTTAGAAAATAAGTCTGGAAGCCTCATGGCCTACAGCAGCGTTTCTCAAAGTGTGGCTAGCCCCAGCCTCACACGGTGATTTGACAGAAATTTAAATTCTCATCTTCCCTTGAATCAGAACCAGTGTGGCCTACTGAACCAGTAACAGTGGGGATGAAGGCCAGCAGTCTGTTTTAATAAGTCCTCCAGTTTAATAAGTCCTCCAGGGGTGGAACAGACAGTCCACAGCTGGGGATGTACACCTTGGTGTCACACCTCTTTGGACCGTGTCCTATGTTGTCCTACGCACACCTAAGTTTAAGAACCACTGGCCTAGATGAAGAAATTGGAAATGGGAGACCAGAAAGGAGACAGCAGGCTCTGGAAAGTGCAGTGTTGGCAAAACTCCATGAGATGCCAACCTAGGCTTAGCAACCATTGTTGTAGTGAAATGTATGGGTTTGAACCTTGGCTGTCATTTAATTACTATGTGACCATGGGCCAGTAACTTGCCATCTCTGGATCTGTAATGCCACCTGCAATGCATGAGGTGGACAAGATGATTTCTGAGGTATCTCTCAACTCACACAGACAGTCTAGAAATATGGAATAAAGTGGGTGAGGCTGCCCAGGGAGAGTGGCCCATGCTGTAGGGCCACATGCAGTATTGTGTGCCTCACAGCTTCCTTCAGACCTGCCTGAACTCCAGCAGGAACCGGGGATGGGAAGAAGACTTCTGGTCCACGGAAGCTCAGGCCAGGTCTAAGGGAGCTTCGGGTTTTCTTTCCCCTAGATTTCCTGGACCTATACTTTGGGCAAGCAGCAGGTCAGTTTCTACCAGGTCCTGTTACAGGAGGTGAGCAAGAAAAAAGACGATGAGCCACCTAAGGCAAAGAATCGTCCCTGGATCTTCAATAAGATCTTGGGCACCACTGTCAAGCTGATGGAGCTGAAGCCTAACACGAGTTACTGCCTCACCGTCCGTGCAGCCAACACGGCTGGGGTGGGGAAATGGTGCAAGCCCTACAAAGTGAGCCCTGGGAAGACGGGCCTGGGGGCTGGAACCAGGGCTGTGGAGGCTGGGCCCCCACCCCCACCCCCCAATGTCCTTGCTAGTTTTTCTTCTGCCTGGAAAAAATGCCAGAGTGTTCTTCTGGGAGCTGTCAGGATTAAGCCTGCTAGGAATGCAAATGAATGCATTCACCACAATGTTCCTTTTCCAAAGTCTTTGGCTTTTGGATTCCTTAACTTAGTCCAGGAACTGCAGGAAGGAGAGGGAAGGCCTGGAGTGGGCATGGGTCCAGAGGTGGAACAGACAGTCCACAGCTGGGGAGGTACACCTTGGTGTCACACCTCTTTGGACCTGTGTCGTATGTTGTGACTGGGTTGGATGAGGCTAAGATCACACTTAGCAGGCAAAGAGGGAGCAGAGAGAGGAAGCCAAAGGGAGAGGAAGCCAGGCTCGGGTCTGGGAAGGAATCTGAGGGACTTTCTTGTTTCAAGACTTTCTTGTTCTTTAGTTTGCAACTGTGGCCAGTGACTTTAAGAGCTTTCCTGAGAACAATCCCATCCAGATCACTGTGCAGCGCAAGGAACCCCAGCGGAGAACTGTGTCCATTGGGCTGGAGGACATGCGGAGGCTGGAGGATTTGGAATACCTATTTCCCTACTAGTAGAGGGCCCCGGACACCCCTCCCTCCCTGGGGATCAGCCTCAGCCCAGGGCCCTCAGGAACCAGACCATGAGATGTACCGTACCACCATCACCATGCCAGAGAACCACTGACTACCCTGCCGGCCAGGGCCTGGAGGCAGTGGTACTGGAACCCTACCCCTGGGCCACGGCCAAGCCTAGGGGAGCCCCATTCACCTGGAGACATCTCAGGCTGAGCTAAGCCAGGCCAGGCTCAGCCACTGCCCACAGCTGCTAGGCTCCCTCCTTCCCCAGATCTGGGCTGGGTCCAGATTCCTCATTAAAGAACTGCAGGTCATCCAGCACCCCTAAGTTTTTCTTCATGCTGCAGATAGCCTCAGCTGGGCTAGCTGCCACCCAAGCTTTTGCTAGGACTAAGAATCCAGATAGGTTGGGGGTGGGGCGTGGAAAACAGGACCACCATCCCTTGCGGTTTGGTTCTGCCACTGCCTGTGGTGGGGGAGGAGGGAGGACTGGCACTCAAAGACTAAAACATCTTCACAGAGAGAGTGACCCTGGACAGGTGCAGTGGCAGCCCATGGACCATGTGCTAGATTTGAGCTCTGGAGGGACACAGTGCAAAGAACACCGGCTTTGGAGCAGGGTCTGATGAACCATGGCTCTTCCCCTTATTTGATGTGAGGGCAAGGGCAAATCCTATAAGCTTCCCGGACTCGATAGCTCATTAAAAGAATGAGGAAGAGAGAACCTTTCAGATACATGTGCAGGATTACTTGGAGCACAGCAGAACAAGTGCCTGCACCGGGAAGGAGCGCAGCAACTGGCAGCTCTTCCTGCCCTCATACCGAGGGAGAGATGTGCAAGGTGTAGGCTGAGATCCAGTTAGGTGCTGTGCAGTCTCAAAAGCACAGGCAGGGCTGGGGCGGGGGTGGGGTGGAATGAGGTATTAGAAATGGAGACGGGATGCATGCAGGGCAAGGTCTTGGTCAAGGGCCTAAGGAGGTCTTGGTGAGGATTCCTTTCATATTTGAAGGTTCTCACAGGGCAGAGTCATCCTAACACCCATGCCCACAAATGTTAAGAGTGTTCTCAGTATGGCCCCACTGCCACCCTGTCAGAGGGGGAGTCCTCTCGCTTGCCCATGGCCTTCTGTAGCACAGAGCTCAGCACCTAGCAGGGCCAAGTGTGCTGTGGGAGAAGCAAGAGGCATCTGCTTTCTAGCTGTACTCTACTCTGGCCAGTGCACACAGACACATGTGGCCAGTGCCTGCCATGGACAGCACTGCTTTAACCTGTCCTCTGGCCAAGGTCACACTGGCCTCTCCCTTATGCATGGGGGAGAGGAAGGGCAATTCCTGGTCAGAATGGTTTTGCTATCACCCAGAACAAGGAAGGGGGTCAAAGAGATTTAGCACGGTGCACGGCTGAGCCCTAGGATTCTAGGACAAGGAACTGTAACCTGAACACACAATATATAAATTATTTATTTGGCCATAGAATCTGGGGTCTGACCCTGAACATAGCTGATACTTGGAAAAGGAGGCAGGGGCGACAACGGAGGCCTCACATACAGCCTGGCCTCCCCACTGCTGCCAGCACCAGCAAGGGACCGAAGAGTGCCCAGAGCAGGCAAAGGACCCATGGGGAGACCCCACCAGGGTCTGTCAAGGACAGGAGGCCTCTGCTGGTGAGGAGGGGGTGTGCACTCCCATCCTGGTCTTTGTTTTCTGGCAGGGCGGGCAGCAGGCAGAAGGCAAGTTCAGGTGGGAGTCAGAACTGTGAGACTTCATCTCCTCCATCTGTGGGGAAGGGAAGGAATCAGGCTGGGATGCCTCTGTACAATCTCAGGAGCCCACTGTGGGGGATGATCTTTTTTTTTTTTTTTTTAACTTTGTATGTGGTGCTGAGGATCGAACCCAGGACCTTGCATGTGCGAGGCGAGCGCTCTACCACTGAACCACAATCCCAGCCCATGAATCACAACCCCAACCCGGGATGATCTTTTGATGACCTGAGAGTCATCAAAACCTGGCACTGTACCTGCTCTAGCCATGCAAACCCAGGCTATGTGTCCCCTGCCTGCCTCAGCCAGGATTCCACCTGGGACCTGGACTCTGATGCCCACTACCAGTGACAATCCTTTGCAAGTGCTTCAGTGTCAGAGTGTGTTTGCCCTCCTCAGTGATCCTCTATGAAGGTTCAAAAATTCCCAAGAGCCAGATTAAGTTTCCTGTGATTTCACACCAAAAAGCAGAACCAGGATCTGCACTCAGGTCTCAGGACTCTAACAAAGATTGAGTGCCTTGTGCTGGCGACCTGCACACACTGCTAGAGAGCAGCCTGAGTGCTGTCAGGGCCTCACAAATTCCCTAACTCCTGCAGCCCTCCACGTGCCCACTGAGGACCTGGCTTCACACACCACCGCAAACTCTGAGTACCAGGATGGTCCCTGAGAATGCCATGCCACAAGGGAAAGAATGCAAAGAGGGACCAACCCACTCAAGGGTAAGAGGAACACCTCAACCACCACCTCCCCACACTCACATCCGGAGGCACTTGTCCTTCCCGCCACTTGCCACTCTCTGGCCATCTGGACTCCAGTCAACAGCATAAACCTAAACATGAAGAGGAGGAGGGGAAGGACAGTGGAACGGTGAGGGGAGAAGGGCCAGGGTGCAATCCCAGCCCCCTCCTGCCCGCAGTGGCAGCCCACCTCATCAGCATGGCCTGGCAGGTCTGTGGTCAGCTTCTGGGCCTTCACGTCCCACACCTTCAGGGTGCTGTCACTGCTACCACTGACCAGCAGGCGGCTGTCAGCTGACCATGCAATCTGATAAACAGCAGCCACATGGCCACGCAGGGAAGCCAGGTACCTGGGCCAGGGGAGGATAATGATGGAGATTATGAAACAGGTATGAAGTGTCCCCCATTCCCACAGCAGTGGTTCTCAGCCTTGCTGTCTGCTAAAATTACCTGGGAATTTTTACAGAACTGTGCTGCCTGGCCTCCGTGCCAGACCATTTTAATCATTGCCAGTCATTACTATTTTGTAAAACTTCCCTAAATGAATTGCTCTGGGGTGTCTGGTGCCAGGCTTCCTACCTGCATGGCTCCGCGTGCCTTAGAATCCAATGTGGCCACCTGCCTAGCCCATCTGCCTGACATCCCCCAGCATAGCAGCTGCTCGCTGACAGGTGGCCTGGAGTAACTGTGGGCCAGGCCCACCTGGAACTTTCAAATCAATATAGTCTATCTGTGACAGTTTGGACAAGCCATTAGGCCTGAGACTCAGTTTCTTTATTTGAAAAAGGAATTAAACAACTTATTACACAGAGCTGCTGTGTGAAAATACACAATAACTGACACTCAGTTCCCCTTCGGCCCCAACAAGGGTTCCCCTTTTTCCTGTCCCTGATGCATGTCTTTGCCTTGCCTCTGACCTAGTTAACCCCAAGTCATTATAACCCCTTACACTAGGGCTTCTGACACTTTTAACTGGTAGCAGTATCACCTGATGAGTCTGCATTTTCCATTATGCTCCCGGGAGACGATAATGCCACTGGCCCAGGGATCACACTTTGTGGGCAACGTAACGACTGCACCACAGCCCTACCTAGGGTTCCACTTTCTCGAGGGCTGCCACACCCCTGGCCCTCTGGCAAGCTCTAAGGTTATTTCTTTACTTTGATGTGAAGGGATCTAGCATTTTTAGTGCCCACTTAGTGCTGGTCCCAAATATACTATCTCACTGATCCTTGTAACAATACTGAAAAAGAGGAAGAAACACAGAAATCTAGACAATTGCTGAGGCAACATCAAGCGCCTTCTATAGCCACTGCGTCCAGAGGCACACTGCCCCAACTCACCTGCCAGTCCTGCCGTCCCACAGCTTGATGGACTTGTCGAAGGAGGCACTGGCCACAATGCGGGAGTCAGGAGAAAAGAGCACCTGGTTGATGAGGGCTTGGTGTCCCGTCATCCGTGCAAGGGGCTTCTTGTCCTCTGCTGGGGACCACAGGAATAAGGTGAAGTCGTCTGAGCCAGACACCAGCCTCTCTGGGCCCTGGCCCTGGGGAGGAGGGGCAGAAAGTACATCATATTGGATATGGTCAGACACTGACCGCACACACCAGGGACACAGCCTAGGGCTAACTAGGAGAAATGAGGCTACTTGTTCACACATGACTCCAGGCAAGTCAATTCACTCAAAAGGAAAATGAAATCCTGTATGTTCACGGAATCATTTCTATGATACAAAATTGTATGACAAAGCAGGTACAGATTGGTATATTAAAAAAAAGGAACGGGCTGGGTTTGTGGCTCAGTGGTAGAGCACTTGCCTTGCAGTGTGAGGCACTGGGTTCGATTCTTAGCACCACATGAAGGTATTTGTCCACCTACAGCTATATATATATACACACATACATATACGTGTGTTTGTGTGTGTGTGTGTGTATATATATAAAAATAAAATGCAAGACATTGGTAGCACTGGATGCTTCCATAAGGAATGGTTGGCTGTGCAAGAGATGAGTGATGTTTCACAATATACCTTTTTATGAACTTTGAACCTTAGACCATGTGAATGTGGCCCTTATACACACACACTCACAAAATAAAATGATCCCCAGTGCATTTAAGATTTAAGGATCACAAATGAGGATTATTAAGAACAGGTTTTCAGTGGTGCAGGTCTATTCCCAGCTATCCAGAAGGGAGACTGAAGCAGGAGGATTGCAAATTCAAAGCCGGCCTGTGCAACCTGGCGAGCCCTTGTCTCAAACAAATAAACAAAAAACAACTTTTCAGAATAGGTACTCTGAGAACTGGGGCTAGAAGAGACTAGAAGGGAACAGAGGTCCAAGTGTCTGACGAGAGTGTTTCAGTGACCAGCTGAGAAAAATACACAGAGCTGGGGAAGCACGTGGCTGGCACACACTCACCCGCACGAGGTTGTACCGGCTTAGGGCCCTTTCCTTCAGCTCCTGCACTGTGTCCAGGTACCACAGGAGAAAGATGGGGAACAAGGCTGATTAGAAAATCCAATATAAAAAGCAACATCCCCATGATGTTGGAGAACTGGCTCCTCCTCCGGCAGCCCTCTCCCCTCCTCCTCTCACTCACAGGACCCCTGCAGGTCTTGGGCATTAACCGTGGCCTCGGCAGGCTCAAAGGCTCCTGTGCGCAGGGCATAGTCGGTGCTAAGTGCCATGGTATTCACCCAGTGGCCATGGCCTTGAAGAGTCCGGCACAGCACACCCTAGGGTGGAGGGAGATGGTTCAAACACACATATAACCCACTTCCATCTTGGAAGATCAGCCCCAGGAGACCAGCATGGGATACGAACCAGGACCCGGAGACTTCAGCACCCATTCACTATGATCTTAATCAAACCACCCATGGGCTCAAGTTTCTGTTTATATATGAAATGAGAGGACTGGCCTGTTTCATGGAAGAGAAGTCCACCAGAATAAAAGGGCTCCAGTCAAACAGCTTTGGGATATGGTAGGTTTTAAAAAGCTAACCAGGCTTCCCACAGCAGGACTTTCCAGAGCTAGACTAGACTACTGGAGGGAAAGGAGGTGCTGGAATCCCCATAATAAAGCAGCACCAACCTCAGAGCCCCTTGTTGCAGCAGCACCCTCCTGACTGGACTCTCAGCACATTCGGGAAACACTGGACTTGCTGAGGCCAAGTGTGCTCCCAGTTCCAGCACTGTGTGCCCCCAAATTTGCCAGAATGGCTTCTGTACCCTCCCAGTTCTTACATCATGGGCCCTCCAGACTTTGATGGTACGGTCCTGGGAAGCAGAGTACAGAAGCCCATCTCCTCCCCACCGGAGACAGGTGACTGACTGCGTGTGCCCGGTAAGGATTCGCTCACAGCGGCCTGCAGTTGTGTCCCAGACCCGCACACTGCCATCCTTGGAGCTGCTGGCCACGTAGCGGCACTCAGGGTTCCTGCCAAGGGGAAGGGAAATGTGCTCTTATTTCTGACCTGGCAATGCCGTTCGGCCCACAGCACCTCCCATTCCCAACTCAAAGGCCACGGACAATCTCCTGATAGCTTCCTGACCCCAAGATCTGGCTGCTCTGCAAGACAGTTCCCAAGCCCAACCATGAGCAGCCTCCCTGCAAGTGGCAGGGTGGGTCTAGATCTAGAGGCCCCACCCCCTGTCAAGCTGTTACTGAAGTCCAGATGCCCATCACACCCTTCAGGAAAGTGTCTCTGCATCAAACAGGAAAGGGGGCAGCTTTGATCCTGGCTAAGTTCAGTTAGTGTCACTTACGCATGGAGGGGCTCCCAGCTCAAGCCCGTAATCCACTTGCTGTGTCCGGCAAGGGTCCTGCCCACCTGCTTCCCTGTGCTTGGGTCCCAGAGGAGAATCTGAAGAACAGAAACTCACTGAATAATCCTCTCCAACCTATCCCAAAGGTCTCCTGGTTACCTACTACCCCTACACCTAACCCTTCCTGAAGATCCCAGGACCCTATTCTGAACTGGCCCTAAGTCCTTAGTTTTTGGCTTTTTGTTTTTGTACTGGAAATTTAACCCAGGGGTGCTTTACTACTGAGGTACATCCCCAGCCCTTTTTGTTTTTTGAGGCAAGATCTCACTAAGTTGCTGAGGCTGGCCTTGAACTTGTGATACTTCTGCCTCAGTCTCCCAAAGCTGCTAGGATTACAGGTGTGGACTACCTCACCACACCTGGCTGCTTAGTTATCTTGACACCACCTACCTGGCCATTCTTGCAGCCTGAGGCTAGTTTCTTGCCATCTGGGGACCAGGATATGCTAAGGACCCAGTGTCTGTGTCCTAAGAAAGCAAGGGAGAGAGAAAGGAGGGCCCACATCCATCTTCATCCTCAGTGCCTAACAATGCACGGCACATTGCAAGCACTCCTAAACCAACTGCCAAAAAAAACGAATGCCAAGAAAAGGGGAGACGAGGATCCTAGGCTGAGGGAGAACTTTCTAATAATTCCTTATGGGACACGTGGTATAAAGGGTTTCCACACACAACATCCCTTTTAATTCTAATACAGGGAGCAAGACAAGAATTATCCTTTTCCAGATGTGAAGACAGAAGCTTAGGCATGCAGCATGACCTGCAACATATAAAATCATCCCAGTATATTCCTAGCATATAACATATAAAAATCATATAAAATCATCCTAGTATATGGTACAGCACTCACTCTCCTAGTGTGGTTCCCAGACTAGCACCATCAGCATCATCTGGAACTTGTTGGAAATGCAAATTCACAGGCCTTACCCCAGATCTACCAAAACAAAAACTCAGCAATCTGTATTTCGACAAGCCCTGGAGGTGATTCTGTATGCTAAAGTCTAAGAACAACTATGGCAGAGGTTGGATTTAAGCCAGGCTCTCCTTGCTAAGGGGTAGTCAGCTCCTCTCCACAAGGCATGTTAATTTTGGTCCAGTCTCTACCTGTTTTAAGTGGCTGGCTAGTCTCAAGGACACAGTCTCTATCGAGGAATAGAGAACCAGATATTGGATGGTAGGGGGTTAGAACTGACTCTGAGCTTCCCCACAAACTAAAAAGAGCTGGGCAATTCAGCCACCTTAAGACCCCAAGTGGCTACATACATACTGACCCTTGCATGTGAAATGTGGTGTCTCTGTGCTGAGATCCCAGAAGCGCACAGTGGTGTCTCCGGAGCCACTGGCCAAGTACCTGGGGAAGAGAAGAGGCCCCTTGACTGTGGCAGTGCACCCCAGATGCTGCACATGTGCATTTCTGTTGCCTATCCAACCATCTGTGAACAAAATCTGGGATAGGACTCCTTCCTCTCCCTGAGGAGGAGAAATATGGCAATGATGCCATTTGGGAGAAGACCCCAGGAGGCCACTTCACCTCCTTCCTGATAGGAAGGACCACAGTGATAACCTGCTCATTCTTTCCCCCTTCTCAGTGCTGGGGTCAAACCCAGGGCATTCAGCGTGCTAGGTGAGAATTCTACTACTGAGCTACATTCCAAGCCCTTTTTAAAATGTTGAGCAGTGTCTCAGTTGCTGAGGCTGGCAGTGAACGTGCAATTTTCCTGCCTCAGCCTCCAACATTGCTAGGATTAAAGGCATGAGCCATTACACTTGGCTGTAACTAGCTTTGGAAGCTTTTCATATCCTCAGAGGGCTCTGAGAAGAAATGAATCCCAGTTTCATGGGAAATAAATGAATTCAGAAAGGTGAAGTGACTCATTCAAGTCACACAGCTCAGAAGGGATGAACCTAAAGCTCCCATGCTCTGACATCAAGTCCATGAAAGACTCTTCCAAGGCAGGTATCCTTAGCCCTTGGAAAACAGACCTCAATAGGGAAGTCCCTTTCTTGCAAACTGGGTGCACAGCTCAAGTCTATGGTAGGCAACATCAATCTTAACTCTGGGGCACTCTCCCCACCCCAGTTAGAGACGGCATCCCCAGACCCCAACCACAATTCTACAGCTATCCTTACTTTCCTGTGGGGCTAAAGGCCACAGAAATGACTGCTTCACTGTGGCCCTCCAAGGAGCTGGTGCAGCGGGTCACGGCTCGGACCCTGAAGATGGCCTGTGGCTGGTAGATGATGTCTAGGATTTTCTCTGTCTCGACTGCCTGGGACTCCAGTGTCTTCCCCAGCGAGGAGGTGATTTCAGCATCATGGACAAAGAAAGCCAGGGGCAGGGGATCCTCCTGCAAAACAATGGTGAAGGGCAACTCTACTATGCAGGACATACAGGGTCCACCTCTGCCCTGGACACTCCCCAGTGAGCGGTGGGAGGTAAGGTTGCCTTCTTTACAGCCACTCTGCTTGGGATACCCCTATCAGTCCCCATATGGCAGGATGTTTTAATCCTTGAAGAGCAATCTTAGGACATTCACATCATCTGCATATCACAACTACCCTGGGAAACAGACATTACTATCCCCACTTGATGGATTAAAAAAATAGGCTCAGAGGAACTAAATAATTAGTTCAATGTCCTATTGCTAATGACTAATTCAGGTTATCTGGTGTTCTGCAAAAAGAACAGCAAGATTCAGGGTTAGGGTCACCACATAGCATTATTTGGTATCTTCCAAACCATCCCACTAGTCTATACCTGTGTAAGAAGCATCTGAAAAGCGGATTTAAAATGCGGACTGTTTGCCTGCTCTGGTTTAGTAAGTGGGGTAGGGGCCAAGAGCTGCATTTTTAGGCACTACCCCTCCCCAGCAGAGAGCAGCACTTCATAAACACTGATTGAAAGGTTAAGAACACTGGTTTTGAGTCTGTCAGACTTGCATTCCAATTCCATATCTATCACCTGAGGATATTAATATGTCCCTTCTTAAGGGACTGTGACATGGAATCAAGGAGATTTGGCACCCAACGCGTTCAAAATGCGGCCTCTGCGCAGGTGAACACGATGTGAAAAGGGGGTAAAGCGCTTTCACACGGATCCCACCTTCTGCCCTCACTGGGAGGCGGGTGGGGACTCCGCAAGGCAGGCCACCCACTGTTGGTTAGCGGAGGGGCCCCTGAACCCCAGATCCTCGATCTCCTGGTCCTCCACTGGGCCCACCCTGGGGAGGAGAAGCCGGGCCGCTCACCTGCGCCAGCAGCGCGTTGCACACCAGCTGCAGCTTGTCGGGAGTGATGTCCACGGGCACGTCGAACGGGGAGCCCAGCAGCTGCCCGCCCTCATCCTGGAACTGCACTAGCAGCCGCTGCACGTCGGGCGCCGCCGTCTCGTCCTGCGCGAACAAGCGGGGTGTCGGTGAGCTTCGCAGCCCGATCGCTGGCCCCGGCTTTGCCTCCCACCGGCCTCGGGGACCCCGCCCGGCGCCGAGCCACGGAGCCCCCGCCCCATCTGAGCACACCCACCACCACTGCGGCCGCCATCCTGCGTCCCCACGTGGAGGAGAAAGATTCCGGCAGGGACAGAGCGCCGCCGCCGTGCCGCGCGTGGCCGCCGACGGCCACAGCGCCCTCTGGGGTTCGGAGGAGAAGAGTCGGGCCGTCCCTAGCCGGGACTCTGGACTTCCTCTGATCAACAGCCTTTCCATATTTGTCCCCGCGGTGCCTTCCTGGGTATAGTCATCCTTTTTAGACTCTTCGCGACAGGGATTCTTGCCCTATTTTATAAATGAGCAAACCGAGGAGTTGGGAAGTTAGAGACATACCTCCAAAGAACAGAGACAGAAAACGGCAGAGACTGAGTGGGCTGAGTTCCAGTCAGCGCACCTGGCAGGGGTGGCTTACGGAGTCAGAAACTATTATTCTTTTTAAAAATGGGTGGAGTCAATTAATATTTGATGAGCACAAAAGCAAATAATCTCAGCTGGACATGATGGTGCAAACCTATAATTCCAACTACTTGAAAGGCTGAGGCAGGAGGATGACAGTTTGGGGCTAGCCTTGGGCACTTAGCTAGATCCAGACTCGAAATAAAAAATAAAAAGGGCTGGGATGTAGCTCAGTGGTGGAGTGACCTGCCTCGCACACCATGAGGCCCTGAGTTTGATCTCCAGCACTGTAAAGAATTGGGGGTGGGGTGGGGGCGCAAACCATCTGCAGTTACCAGCGTTGTACAGCAATAATAATAATAGTAATGATAGCACTGTGTCAGGCATTGTTCAAAGTGCTTTATATACTTGACTCATTTAATCTTCACAACAGCCCTTTCCTCTCACATTTCTGATGAGGAGCCCAAGCAAAGAGTAATGAACACGAACTCTCTTATTGGTCACTTGGGATCTTCTCCAGCTTCTCTCCTGTCCATGACCCCTCTGGCAGTCTCAAACTCCTAAGTCACTTCTGCCTCACAACATTATTCCCTCCAGCCACCCTGCCACACTGAGTAACACACCTTCACTTCTCTTTCTTTTTTTGGTACTGAGGATGGAACCCCTGAACACTTTACCCCTACCCATAGCCCAGCCTGTTGCTATAGTTTATTTATAGACAGGGTCTTGCTGATTTGCTCAGGTTCTCTCTAAGTTGCTGAGGCTGGCATTGAACCTTCGATCCTGCTGTCTCATTCTTCTGAGCTGCTGGGATTATAGGAATCCACCACTGCTGACTATTGCTTCCTGTGTGGACTACCACCACAGCCTCTGGACCTGCCTGCCCTTCTCTATCCCCTTCCTGCTGCAGCCAGGGCCATCTTTCAAACCAAAAACTGCTCTATTACTGACTTTTCATCCAAAACCTTTCAATGTTCCCCTTACATGCGAGAATGAACCACACTCCTTATGGCCCACACAGCCTCACTGTCTCAGCCACCCCTCTCTAAGATCAGAGCCTTCTGTCTTGTTTCTGAACTTGTCCAAGGCATGGCTCTTCCTGCATTAGTGCTCTTGTACTTGCAGGTTTTCATTTTTCCTGTCTGGGAATATTATGGACAGAATTGTGTTCTTTGAAATGCATGTGTCAAAAAACATACGCCCTCTAGGGAGGAAATAAAGTTTAAGTGAGGTCATAAGGGCAGGGCCCGAGTCTGATTGAACTGGTGCCTTTATAAGAAAAAGAAGGGAGTCCAGAACATGCACTCTGCCCCCCATCCCTGGTCTCTCCACCTCTCCAACTATACCTCATTCTGAGGACACGGAAGCACTAAGGAGCCCAAGAAGCAGAGGAGAGAGGCCTCACCAGAGTCCGACCCAGATGGCACCTTGATCTTAGGCTTCTCAAGCCCAGAGCTGTGAGAAAATCAATGTCTGCTGTTTGGGCCTCCCAGATGGTGGTATTCTGTTATAGCCATCTGAGCAGACTAATACAGGCTGCTGAGACAGTTCCTCATTCTTCAGGTCTGGCCTTAAATATTCATTCATTTATCCATCCAGCAATTGTATTGAGCAAGTATTCTCTGCCAGACCTTGCTCTTAAAACTCTACATGCATTAAACTAATTTATCACTTATTCAGGAAAACCTTCTCTGAAACAACATCATAGTTCCTTGTTTTGCATTTTTATTTTATTTATTTATTTGGTACCAGGCTTTGGGTGCTTAACCACTGAGCCGCATCCCCAGCCCTTTTAATGTTTTATTTTAAAACAGGGTCTTGCTAAGTTGCTCAGAGCCTTGCTAAGTTGCTGAGGCTGGCTTTGAACTTGTGATCCTCCTACCTCATCCTCCTAAGCCGCTGGGATTATAGGTGTGAGCCACCAAACCTGGCCTGTTTTGCATTTTGAAAACATCTTAGTATTCCTCACATTTAGAAATCACAGATCTAGCTGGACATGGTGGGATCCTCCTAACAACTCAGGAGGCTGAGGCAGAAGGATCACAAGTTTGAGGCCAGCCTCAGCAATTTAGCAAGACCCTGTCTCAAAATAAAATGAAAAATTAAAAAGGCTAGGGATGTTTAGTGGTAGAGTACCCCTGGGTTAATCCCCAGTACCAATAAATAAATAAATGGAAAGAAATCACAGTTCCATGGAATTACTTCATTAATTAATTTAATAAATACCACTGAGCACTTACTATGTTCCACAAATTGTTATATACACTGGGAATATGTAAGTGAATAAGTGGAACAAATCCTTGCCTTGTGAGTGTTCTCTGCTTCCCTTACCTTTCACAGTTCCTGGCACATAGGAAATGCTTGTAGAATAAATTACTGATCAGGATTTGAATTTAGGGTTCCTTAGCCCTAAAATCATAAAACCAAAGTTCTCTGCTAATGGCAAGCTCCCTATCGTATTACCTCATTGTTTGCCCCACAAAGGGGATCCAGGGTTTAGGATAACAAGGAGGCAGGGGATTCATCCATCCATTCATTCATTCGTTCATTCAGCAAATACATGTGAAGGCGGGCACAGTGGCACACACCTCTACTTGGGAGGCTGAGGCAGGAGGATCACTGGAGCCCAGGAGTTCAAAGCCAACCTGAGCAACACAGTGAGACTCCTTATCACAACAAAAACAAAACCAAGGACAAAACCAAAATCAGAGCCTGGGGACATAGCTCGTTGGTAGAGTGCTTGCCTCGAATGCACAAGGCCCTGGGTTTGATTCCCACCACCACCAAAATAAATAAATAAATAAACAAACAAACAAACAAATAAATAATAATAATAAAATAAAATCAACTATGGATTGGGGTTTAGCAGGGAAGTAGATCCTGTCCAAGGCACACTTAGCTGTGTCTAAGTGTCCAAGGTCACAGGATGAGGAGCAGGATCTGAATTGGGTGACTCTACCTACCCTTTTTCTTCAGTGTCTTTTGGGCAAGTTGGAAAATATATGGGAGGTGGGGGTGGAATAGGGGTGCGAGAACACAGCCTGGCATACAATGCCATTCTCCCATGCAGAGAATGTGACTCTGCCTGTCTCTCTGGTTGGGTGGGGTGTTTGCAATCTTTTTGAGCTGCTGTCCTTTCCCTCCAGAAGCGAGCACTCAGCCCCAGTTTGGGGGCTTTGGAGGGCAGAAAGATTCTCAGTCCAAGTGGGAACATCTAAGTAAATTTGCCTTGGCAGCCCTTCCCGAGTGAAGGAATAACAGTTGCGCCCCAGGATCTCCCCCTCTGCGGTGGTGGATGCAGCTTATTCCCAGAAGCCTGCTTCTGCTGAGGAGCCTCCTCTTGTCCTGGGAGGGTTCCCTGTGACCTGGGCTGAGGGAGTCATAGTTCTTGGTCTCAGGGAATTTGCATTCTGACCCACCCCTGGCCCTTGATTTCAGTCTGATGGGGAAGAAACAGAGCCCTCAGGGAGCTCCCAATCTGACCAGAGAGGTGGGCTGAATGTGTTCCCAGGACATAGTGGAGGGACGGGTAGAAAACATTCACACCCAAACAGCCACCCACGCACACTACACCTGGCTGGTAGGTCAGGCTCCTCTTTCTGCAAAGCAAGGACATTTCAACAGGCGAACGCAGGAGAGCCAGGTGGAGGTGCTGCAATAAGTACAAGTGGAAGAGGAAAAGGAACTTTCCTCCAGTCTGTCCTCCCCCTCCCGCCAGAAAGGCATTTCTGGAAGTCTCCAGTTGGTCAGGGACCTGGGCAGCTGCTCTGTGTCCACGTCCATCAGCCCCTCAGCTGTCACTCTGCTCCCAAAATAGCAATGGCGGTGGTGGAGAGGGGGAGGTTGTTTATCTGGGAAGGAGGTGGAGATGGGGCATTACGGCTGTGCCTGGGGAGGGGGTCTGCTGGGGGGTTCCCGTCCCTTCTGGATCTTTCTCTCGCTCTTTGTGGTACGAGTGTCTGAGGCTCCCAGGACTGCCCCTGAGCCTGGTGCTCAAGGGGCAGAGGACAGTCAGCACCTCCACGTGGTCATGACTGTCCAGTCCAGGGAGGGGGAGGACCCTGAGTATCAATGACAGACTCCAGGGACACCTGCCCCTGTGTCCAAATATGGTCTCGAGCCACTGGCTGGAGTGATAAAGTCTCCTGGGTCAGGGCTGGGAGGGGCAGACCGAGGCTGTTGGCCGAGGTGGGCAGAACTCCAGAGCAGCATCCCAGGAGCAAGCGACCTGCTGAGAGGGTGAGCTGCCCGGGAGACTCTAGGGAGAGGGTGCTGGGAACCCTCAGGCCTGCTGGCAGATGATGGTGTAGGCCTTTAGCACTTGGCTTCACCCAACTGGGCTGAGAGGCACCGGGACTCAGATACCCTCTCAAGGGGTCAGGCTCTGAGCAAATGTTATAATGTCCTTCAGGGGTGATTATTTTGGGGCTGCTCGGGTAGGTCCCTTCCATGCAGAATGCCCGCCCTCCACCCTGGTGGTGACCTGGGGCCCTGGACCTCAGGCCAAGAGCCCTGGCCTGGGTCTGGAGTGAGGGGCTGACCAGATAGAGCTGCCCCTGTCCAGACAGATGGCCGAGGTGGAAGCGGCACAGCTGAAGGAGGAGGGGAACCGGCACTTCCAGAGCCAGGACTACAAGGCGGCGACGAAGAGCTACAGCCAGGCCCTGAAGCTGACCAAGGACAAGTCGCTGCTGGCCACGCTCTATCGGAATCGGGCAGCCTGTGGCCTGAAGATGGTCTGTGCAGAGTCTGGGGTGGGAGCTGGGCTGGGGGGTCTTGGGGCTGAGAGGCAGGGCTGGGAGATAGTCCCTTTCCTGATAGGAATTGGCCATCTCACCCGGACACCGTGGGGTGGAGAAGGGTGCCTCTAACTGCCCAACCCAATTCTCTGGAGAGAGACTTTCACCCAATTCACTATCAGCCTAACGCCAGGGGCTTTTCAGATGCAATTTCATGGCGACTTGAGAACAGCCCTCTGAGGTAGCTGTTGCTATCGTCTCCACGTTGCAGACATGAAACTCAGGGCTCAGGGGGCTTCATGAATTTGTCCTAGCTCTCCCAGGTGGTCAAAGAGCTCAGATTCAAATTCGAGTTTGCCTGATGCCAAAGCCCGTCCACTTTCCCCATGCCTGGGGCTGCCGAGCAAAACTTCCCTTCTGTCTCTGTCAGGACACTCTCTGGTGGTCTTTGTTTTGGGCCCCCATCAATTGTCTCCTTCCCCTCCCCCATTTCTCAGGAGAGCTACGTCCAAGCAGCTTCAGATGCCTCAAGAGGTGAGTCCCCCTACCCCTGACTCTGCCTCTCTCAGCCCGGTCTGTACTGGGTTTTGATTTGGTTACAGTTTTTTCTTTTTCTTTTTTTTTCCTTGAAGAAACAGTGATAGTCTAGAGTGAGTTCAGAAGTGATAGAACTAGTCAGGCATGGTTGCGCACGTCTGCTTGGGAGGCCGAGGCAAGAGGATTACGAGTTCAAAGCCAGCCTCAGCAACGGTGAGGTGCTAAGCAACTCAGGGAGACCCTGTCTCTAAATAAGATTCAAAACAGGGCTGGGGGTGTGGCTCAGTGGTTGAGTGCCCTGAGTTCATTCCCTGGTATCAAAAAAAAGAAAGAAAGAAAGAGAAGAAAACAATAAAAGATCTGGGGGTGTAGCTCAGGGGTGGAGCACCCCTGGATTCAATCTCCAGTAATACACTCACACAGACATACATTCACACACGCACAAAGGGAAAGAGGGAACCAACCGGAAACAATTGAAGGAAGCAGCAATATTTAGCCCCAGGAAGGCAACTCCCAGGTGGACAGATAGGCTGCCTTCAAATACCTAAAGGTTGTCACAAGGAACCAGTGTTGGATTTCATCTCAGTGGTTCCAGAGCCAGACTTAGGATAAAAGGACAAAGTTAAAGTGAGTACATTTTGGGTAGGAAGAGGGAAGGGTTCTCTAACAGAGCTGCCTGGCTATCTTGAGAAGGAGGGAGCTCCCAGTTGCAGGAGATATGCAACTGCCAATCAGATGAACCCCGAGGAGCCTGTTGCATCAGGACCTGAATGAGATGACTCTTAAGCTCTCTTCCAGTCTTAAGACTCTGTGGATCTTACTGTCTCCCTAACAAAAAGATGGTATGGGACAGATAGTCCACATGGGTGGATAATCTCCAAGGAAGACAGGATTCTGCAGTTAGGGCTGGGGTGGAAGAGGTGGTCCGCAGCCTGGCGCCCTGAGACTCTGCCCTCTCCCCTCTCTAGCCATCGACATCAACTCCTCAGACATCAAGGCTCTGTATCGGCGATGCCAGGCACTAGAGCACCTGGGAAAGTTGGACCAGGCCTTCAAGGATGTGCAGCGCTGTGCCACCCTTGAGCCACGAAACCAGAACTTCCAGGAGACGCTGAGGAGGCTCAACACCAGCATCCAGGAGAAGGTAGCCCTTACCTCTTCCCTCAAACCTGGGGTGCGAGGGAAGCAGGACCTCAGGACAGAGCCAGCCGTACCTCCATGCTTTGAGCTGGAGACAGCAAGGGGCACCGGCAGGCTCCACAGGACTGTTGAGCAGGAGCACCTACGTGTGCGTATTGTGATGCTGTCTGAGGACACAAGACAGCCAGGGCTAGAACAAGGGTCTTCTAAACTCTAGATGGAAGCTTTAAAAAAGAAAAAAACTATGATCACTTAGCATTTAAATGTCTAAGGGAATTGTTTATTCTAAAGTTGGGCTGATGTTTCCTTCTCTTCCAAGACTATTATGATGACCAAATGGGCTAAGGAATGGAAATAGATTGTGAGCATCAAGGGGCAAAGACTTAACTTTGTTCATCATTCTATCCCCAACTTCTAGAACAGTGCCTGGCACACAGTTGTTATTCAGTTAACTTTTGTTGGATGAATAAATGAATGTGCCAAGGGCCCAGAATAAATTTTTTAAATTTGTTCTTATTAGTTACGCAGGATAGTAAAATGTATTTTGACCTACATATATGGAGTATAGCTTCTCATTCTTCTGGTTGTACATGATGTAGAATTACATTGGTCATGTGATCATATATGCGCATAGGATAGTAATGTCCGATTCATTCCACTATCTTTCCTTTTCCCATTCCCCCTCCATTCCCTTCATTCCCCTTTGTCTAATTCAGAATATTTGTTCTTCCCCGCACCTCCCCACCCCGTTCCTTTATTCTGAATTAGCACCAGCATATCAGAGAAAACATTTGGCCTTTGGTTTTTGGGGATTGGCTTATTTCCAGAATAAAATTTTAATATTTACTGAGAAGAATAGATCGAAATAATGTGACCCAATTCTGCCTCCCTCATAAATACCTCCTCTCTCTTCAGCTCCGCGTTCAATTCTCCACAGACTCCAGGGTACAGAACATGTTTGAGATCCTCTTGGACCAAAACAGTGATGCTGATAAGCTGGAAAAGGTGAGTGACAGGCGGCGCCAGTCAGTCAGCAGAGGGCGCTCTCGGACCCGCGGCTCAGGCTGCTGGGTTTCTCAGGATCTCTGCACTTAAAGGCTGTTCAGGAGTAAAGGAGTGAGGGCGCTGGTCCTTGAAGAACGTGGGGGGAAATTAGCCCAAAGTCAAGCACGTTAGAAAACAGTGCCTTAATTAGAGTGAATCAGTATGGAGAGTCATGCAGCAGGGTCAGATCCTGTCTTTAAGATTCTGATATTTTATTCATCAGAGTTTTTTTTTTTTTTTTTGGCATTGATTTTGATTTTCAAGAACATTGCACAACCTATTATTTACCTGGATTACTAGCTTTGGGGTGCCTCTTTAAATTTTGCATCCAAAGGTAATGCCTCACTTGCTTCACTGTAATTTCAGAACTGAGAAACAATGAGAAGTTCAAATAATATTTTATTTCATTTAGAAATATTGAAAGTCATTCTGAAACATTAAAATATGTACTGGTACGGAGGGTTGTGGCTCTGTGGTAGAGCACTTGCCTAGCACGTGGGAGGCTCTGGGTTCAATTCTCAGCACCACATATAAATAAATGAATAAAATAAAGTTTCATCAACATCTAAAAATAAAAATAAAAAAAAGTACTGATACATTTTAACCAAATGTGGTGCAGTATTTTTTTCATGTTTCCTTCTATTCCTCCTTTGGAAAAAGGAAATTGAACATTTGAGTGTTCTACATTCAAGAACTTGATAGACAGTGCCTGGGGGTGGGAGATGTTATTTTTATAGTCAGAATATCCACATGATATGCAAATATCTTTTTTCCCCCCTGTATTGGAGATTGAACTCAGGGGTTCTCTACCACTGAGTTACATCTGTGGATCTTTTTATTTTATTGGAGAGGGGGTCTCTTTAAGCTGTGCAAGCTGGCCTTGAATTTGTGATCCTCTTTGGCCTCTTGAGTAACTGGGATTACACGTGTGCATCACCACCTCCAGCTTGGAGGCTTTTTTAAAAAAATATATGTGTGTGTATATATATATATTTAATTGCATATGGATACAATACCCCCATTTTTATTTATTTATTTTTGATGTGGTGCTGAGGACCAAACCCAGTGCCCCACACATGCCAGCCAAGTGCTCTGCCACTGAGCTACAATCCCAGCCCTTGGAATCTTTTTTATCTATAATTTTACTAAGTGTTTTTCTTGCTTTGGTTCCTGTTTCCTGTTTTTTGTTTGTTTGTTTGTTTGTTTAATCAGGGATTGAACCTAAGGGTTCTTAACCCCTGAACCACACTCCCAGCCCCTTTTTTAAAAAAATATTTTATTTAGATACAGGGTCTTGCTAAGTTGCTTAGAGCTTCTCTGAGATGCTGAGGCTGACTTTGAAGCCAAAATCCTCCTGCCTCTGCCTCCTGATTCACTGGGATGACAGGCATGCGTAACCATGCCCAGCTAGGTTTTTGTTTTCATTTTGTGGGTCCCTCCTCTTCTAGAGCTGGGCATCATAGCCAGGGCCTTGTGCATGCCAATATAGCTCGACCACTGAGCTATATTCCCAAAACTTATCTATAACTTTAATGGCTGCAATATATTTCATCAAGTTGGTGTTTATGCAGGTTACCTTGACTTCTTCTTCTTCTTCTTTTTTTTTTTTTAGATGTTGATGACCTTTATTTTATTCATTTACTTATATGCAGTGCTGAGAACCGAACCCAGTGCCTCACACATGCTAGGCAAGCGTTCTACCACTGAGCCACAACCTACCCTGACTTCTTTGGACTTTTGTTTTGGGGTTGTGTTTCCAGGAGCAGGATTATAAGAGAATACAATGTTCTGAGACCCACTGCTGGCACCAGGCCCTGTACTTGGTCCCTGAACAAAGCTTCAGCAATCATCCCTCCCTCTTGACCCTCCCTGTCTGTTCCTTCCCTCAGGCTGCCAACAACCTCATTGTGCTGGGCAGGGAGGACGCAGGGGCTGAGCGGATCTTCCAGAACAATGGAGTGGCCCTGCTGCTGCAGCTCCTGGACACTAAGAGGCCTGAGCTGGTGCTGGCTGCAGTGCGGACTCTGTCAGGCATGTGCAGTGGCCACCGAGCGAGGGTGAGGACTCTGGGACTGGTGTGCCCAGGGCAGATGGCTGCCAGTACAGGGACATGGAGGGTGACACATGCCCAGGGCTATGACTGGCATAAAGGGAACCTGATGAAAAGTCTAGAGCATTTTCCTGTCCGCCAACCTTGGTTTTATGGTCCCTGTTTCAAAAGACTGTTTCAGGCCTTTTCTGATTGAGCTGGAAAAGGGTTTCATAAAACAAAGGTATCAGGAGTGATTCAAAGGAAGGAGCTGAAGGCAAGGGTAGGCTAGTTCAGATTTTTAATACTGTCTTTGAACCCAATGTGTATTTTACACTCACACCACATCTCAATATGTCTTGCTGTGTTGCAAGGGCTCTATATCCCTGTGTGATATGGGCCTGCTGTTTTGGGGGGTGCCCTTCTTAACCTCTGGAAAGAGGTTTCCCAGGCTGTGAGTCTCATGAAAGCATGGCTGCCAGTGCTCATTTCCCTAGGGCATGGAGTGGGATGGGAGTGGATCTTACCCACCCCGTCATGTGCATGGTAACCGGGAAGGACAGATGGTGCTGCTGACTGTGGTTCTTGCTGGGGGTCTAGGCCACGGCGATTCTGCATGCAGTTGGCATAGACCGGATCTGTGGCCTCATGTCTGTGGAGAACGAGGAGATGGCTCTGGCCGTCTGCAACCTGCTGCAGGCCATCATTGACTCCCTGTCTGGGGAGGACAAGCGGGAGCATCGAGGGAAGGAAGAGGCCCTGGTTCTAGGTAGGAGATGTTTTCTTTGGTCTAAGTGATTTCAAAGGGACAGTCAGGCACCAGACTGGGCATTTCCTGTGTGTGGAGGTGGCCTGGTTATTTATTAATTTATCTATTTATTTATCGGTACTGGGAATTGAACCAGGGCACTTCACCGCTGATCTACATCCACAGCCCTTTTCATTTTTTAATTTGAGACAGGATCTCTCTTAGTTGATTAATTAAGGCCTTGTTACATTGATGAGGCTGGCCTTGAACTTGCAATTCTCCTGCCTCAGCATCTTGAATGGCTGGGATCACAGATCTGCCTCCACGCCCTTTTTATTTTTTAAGATGAGATCTTACTAAGTTGCTTGGCCCTGGTTTTATTTTTATATGTGTTTTCTGATTATAAAAAGCATGAGAGGCACAACAACAGTATTTACAGTAACCAAAAAGGTGGAAAATACACAAGTGTCAACAGGGCATGATGGTGCACACCTGTAATCCCAGCAACTCGGGAGGTGGAGGCAGGAGAATTGCAAGTTTGAGACCAGCTTCAGCAATTTAGTAAGATCTCTTTCTTAAAATAAAGAATAGAAAGGGCTGGGGATTAGGCTCAGTGGTAGAGCATCCCAGGGTTCAATTTCTAGTCTCATTAAAAAAAAATCTCTATTGTGGATGACTAGGGAAGCAAAATATGACATACACATGCCATGGAATATTATTCAACCTTAACAAGGAAGTCAGTTGTGACATGCTACAACACAGAGGAACCATGAAGGCATTATACTAATTGAAATAAGCCAGTTGCAAAAGGACAAATACCATGTGAATCCAGTTACAGGATGTACTGGAGTCAAATTCATAGAGACTGGAAGTAGAAAGTTGGTTGGAGGGACTGGGGAAGGGGCAACAAGGAGTTTAATGAATATAAAAGTTTCAGTTTTGTCAGGTGAAAAACTTTCTGTGGATGAATAATGGCGTTTGCCCAACAATGTGAATATAAAAGATGGCACTGGAGTGGGCTGGGGATATAGCTCAGTTGGTAGAATTCTTGCCTCATATGCACAAGGCCCTGGGTTCGATCCCCAGCACCACACACACACACACACACACACACACACACATATACACACACACATACAAATATGACTACTGAAGAGTACACTTAAAATAGTAAGTTTTATGTTATGTATATTTTATCCCAATTTAAAAGAGGCTTATTAGAGAAACTTGGGGAAATATAGAAATATGTAAGGATGAGAAAAAAATACCTGTTACTCATTCAGTAACCACTATTATCATCACCGTGTGTGTCTGTCCTGTTTCTATATATAAAGAATATAAAAATTCTTATAAATATCTATTTAACAAAATTGGAATTCTGCTTTGTATAGTTTCATGATTTTATCTTCCTTTAGTATTATATTAATATCGCATACCATTTAAAATTCCTTTTTTTTTTTGAATTGGGATTTAAACTCAGGTAAAGCTACCACTGATCTACATTACAGCCCTTTTTATTTTTATCTTATTTTTTTATATTTATTTTTTTAGTTTCAGGTGGACACAATATCTTTATTTTATTTTTATGTAGTGCTGAGAATCGAACCCAGTGCCTCTCGCATACTAGGCGAGCACGATACCACTTGAGCCACATCCCCAGTCCCCTTTTTATTTTTTAAGATAAGATCTCACTAAATTACTTGGGCCTTGCTAAGTTGCTGAGGTTGGCCTTGAACTTGGGATCCTCCTGCCTCAGCCTCTCAAGTCACTGGGATTACAGGTGTGCACCACCATGCCTGGCTTGGCATTTGCCTTTTAACGTCCACAGTGGGCAGGGAAGTCCTGGTATCACAGGCTGTGGCTGGAATTCAGGCTCCCAGGACATCTGAGTATGGGAGGGGGGAGTCTAAAGTCTGTAAGGAATATAAATTTCCTTTCTAGAAAGCATTTTATTAAATCACTTTATTAACAACTACATACAGTGTCCCTGGATCTCTGCCAGTCGTTGCCAGGAAGTGAAGAACTCTCTAAGAACCCGAGCTACTTAAGGGCTGTTGTGGAAAACAATGTTCAGAGTGGCTAAGAACCCTGGGGGTGTTGATGAGGGATTTCTTTATTTTTTGGGGGTGTGATATAGACAACATTATAGTCTCCTAGGACATTCACACATCCAGGAAGCAGTGGATTTCATATTTCCAGAGTCCTTCTAGAAGCTTCTACCATTCCTGATTTGATCTGAGACATTCTACTCCTTGCTATTGACCTCTATCCTCTTGTTCCTCAGACACCAAAAAGGACCTGAAGCAGATCACCAGTCACTTGCTTGACATGCTGGTCAGTAAGAAGGTGTCTGGCCAGGGCAGGGACCAGGCGCTGAACCTGCTCAATAAGAATGTTCCCAGGAAGGACCTCGCCATTCATGACAACTCCCGCACCATCTATGTGGTGGACAATGGTGAGGAGATGGGAGGGTCTGGGGCTCACATGGCCTTTTGGGTGGACACCAGGGCACTTGGCAGGCAGCAGAAAGCAGGAGAGGTTTTCTAGCAGATGGTGACTAAATTCATCAGATCCAGGTTCACCTCTCCCCTTAACCGGCTTCTTTAATTGCTCAGGAATCATATCTGTGGCTTTCTAACCTGCTCTCATTCTCTCATGGGTTATATGACATAGAGAGTATGCCTGGTTCTAAAAGGTTCAAGTCAACCTCTCTGGGGGTGAAATTTATCTTTCAATATTTCACTTCTCTTGTTTGATTTTCATAGATCTCAGTGAAGTGCACATGCAGTTGCTTAGACCTTACAGATCACAAGTCGCTGTAGTGCTTGAGGCTGGCCCTCTATGCTATTTTCCCCCAGTTCTGGTCTTCTCTGCATATATTTAAGTGGGACATCAGCAGTCACTTCTCTCTGCACTGGGATCTAGGGTCAACCACATGGTCTACAGGGTGGGACAAGGTGGGGAGCAATGTTTTTTATTCTGTTCTTTTGTTGAAGAGCACCAGAATGAATAGCACTCGGGTTACAATACAGTGGATTTAAAAATTCTGATACACTAATTCAAAGCTGCAGCGTTGAGCTCCATGTGTAATGCAAACTGGGGCAGAGCAAAGCTTCCCTTAGATCAAACCTGAAGTGAGCTCTTGGCCAGGGGAGGGGTGAAGACTGTCAAAGAGGTGTCTGGGGTTCTAATAGAAGAGGAATGAGGTGCTCAAGGCCCAGGCAGGATGGAAGCCAGGAGATGAGATTGGGGAGGTGATGGGAAGTGGAGCAGGTGTCTTTGGGAGCCAGGCTGGGTTGCTTCTTTGGGCCCCTTTCAGTCCTGCCAAGCACTTTTTTGTGTTTGGTTGTGACATAATAAATATATGTCATAAATAAACAGGTATAAATAAATAAACAGGCATCTGCACCTGTTTCCTAAACCAGTTGGAATCTTCAAAGTGATAAGTGTCCTCTTGTGCTAATGAGATGGCTAGTGGCTTGAGATCTGGATAGACTCAGGACAAGGAGCGCAGGTTGCCAGGGGAGCCAACTGTGTGATTAGAGGCTTGGGACTTTCTGTCCCATCCCTCAACTCCTATCCCACCTCTGACCTCTGCGAGGTGAGGGGAGAGGGCCAGAGGTGGAGTTAATCACTAATGACCAGTGACTTGATTGATCATGTCTACATCATGGAGCCCCCATATAAAAGGCTCTAACTGAAGGGTTCTGAGAGCTTCCAGCTTGGCGAAGACTTGGAGGTGCTGGGAGGGTAGTGCCCCTGGAGAGGGCTGGGGGGTGCCACACCCCTTCCCCAGACCTCCCCCTGTGTGTGTCTTCCATTTGGCTCTTCCTGATTGCAGCTTTCATAATAAAGCTGAAAATATAGTAGGCAAATTATTTTCCTGATTTCTGTGAGCTCTTCTAGTAAGTTTTAGAACTTAGGGAGGGGACTAAGTTATTTGTAGCCAGTTTGCACAGAAGTTGTGGGAAACCTGGAACAGCATCTGAAGTAGAGGCAGATCGTAGGCCTGAGCCCTCAGCCTCTGGGTCAGTGTTAACCCCAGGTAGAAAGTGTCCGAGTTGAACTGAGTTGTAGGACACCCAGCTCACATCAGATGTGAAGAACTAAGAGGAGTAATAGAGAGGACACTGAAGTTTTCCTTAAAGTGATAAAATACACAGAGCACAAAATTGCAGCTAAGTGTTTAAAATTCCTTCTTAACACTCAGAGTTTCATACTTCCCATATTTACCCTGTGTGTTCTTTCCACATCCATGTACCACCCAAGGGCTGGCCAACTCCCAGCCACCTCTAAAGCCTGACCCTGGGATCAAGCTGTCTGTTGTCTCAGAGGCAGCATAGCCTAGCGGTCAAAGGCGGGGATACTGTTTGACATCAGAGCTCATGGGGAGAGCATCCCCTCTACATCTCTTGCCATGATTTTGGGTGACTGCCTTGGATTCTCTAAGTCTTGACTTTCTGCTCTGAAAGATCAGAATAATGATTCCTAACCAGGAGGTTTCAGTTAGGATAAAATCAGGCACACCTTGGCACACAGCAGATGCTCAAACTAACTTGCAAGTCTTCTTGAAGCTAATTGTCCCATCCGTGGTGTAACCACCCAGTATCATATCTTCCTTCGGTGTTGTATGTTGCTTTCCATACTGCTTTGAAGGCAGGACCTAAAGGTACACATTTAATCCTTCACTTATTCCACAACTACGTGACTATTAAACTAGTCTGATGGAGGAAGTCACTTAAGAATCTCTACCCAGGTGGGCACAGTGATGCACACCTGTATTTCCAGCAGCTTGGGAGGCTGAGACAGGGGTGTCACGAGTTCCAAGCCAGCTTCAGCAACAGTGAGGTACTAAGCAACTCAGTGAGACCCTGTCTCTAAATAAAATACAAAATAGGGCTGGGGATGTGGCTCAGTGGTTGAGTACTTTTAAGTTCAATCCCTGGTACAAAAAAAAAAAAAATCTCCACCCAAAGATAATAATAAGAAGAAATACAGTATTGCCTAAATATATAATGGACTTTATTGAGTGACAATTATGTCTCAGATGGGCACCTGGCTATTTCTGCTTATTATTTTCTTATTGAGTCCTCAAGCTCTATAAGGTAGGTAGTATTATGTCCATTTTCACAATTTAAGAAACTGTGGCCTAGAGAAAAGAGAAGATAAAATAGTATGTGAGGAAGACTGCGTGTCTACTCACGGAATGTTAGCACTGGTAGAGTCCTCTGAGATCAACTCATCATGATTTTGAAAAGGTGAAAATGGAGGCCCACAGAGAATGGTGGATCACTCAAGGTAGGGGCAGAGCCAGGTGGAGGACCTGGGTCTCTTGTCTCCACTCCGGTGCCCTAGGCTCTCCTGTCTAAAGGCAGGGTTGGAGCGAAGCTAGAGACAGGACATTGCTTAGTCAGGGGTATGTTCCTGAGGACAGAGCCCAGCAGGAATCTCACTCTTGCCCCTGTCCCCCTGCAGGCCTGAGGAAGATTCTGAAGGTAGTGGGGCAGGTTCCAGATCTGCCCTCCTGCCTGCCCCTGACCGACAACACCCGCATGCTGGCCTCCATCCTCATTAACAAGCTCTACGATGACCTGCGATGTGATCCGGAGCGCGATCATTTCCGAAAGATCTGTGAGGAGTATATCACGTGAGTCTCCTGGGTGGGTGGTTCTGGCTCAGGATCTCTCTTGAAGTTACAATCCTAAGTTGGCCTGGGCTGCAGCCATCCAAAGGCTTGACTGGACTTCCAAGATGGCGCACTCACCTGATTGGCATGCTGGTGCTGGCTGTTGGTGGGAGGCCTCAGTTCCTCCCCATGTGGACTTCTCCACAGGCTGAAGAGTCCTCACCATGGCAGCTGCTTCCCTGAGTGATGATCCAGGGTAGAGCAGGGAGGAGGGCAGTGTCTCTCACACACCAGCCTCAGCAGCTGCACACCATCACTCGCACGTTCTAGTCATTAGGAGCAAGTGCTCAATCTGGCCTTGACCCAGATTCAGTCCCAGGTTGTCGATTCTGCAAATCTTGCCACAAAATTGATACAGGTGAATTGAAATAGGTGGAAATCATTATGTAGAGCCTATATCTAGATTATATTAATAAATATAATAATTGTGACATTATAGTATTATTATTATATATTGCATAATGATATTATATACTATATTAAAGTTTTTATAGGTATTCTACATCTGGGACAATGCCACAAGATGGGTTAAGGGAAGAGAATTACATTCCACCTTTGGAAGGGAGGGGTGTCTGTATATTTCTGGAAACGGGTTGGGGACGTGGCTCCATGGTAGGGCGGCCTACCTAGTACGCATGAGGCCTTGGGTTCAATCCTCAGCACTGAAAACAAAAAACACTGGGCATATTTTAAACCCACCTCAGTCTCCTGTGGTTGGGAGGAACACCCATGGGCTGTTAGGCGGGAGGCCGGCTCTGGGGAGACTTTAAGAATGGGTGGCTTTAGAGACAGGTCGGGCCCTCTGAAGCTGAGTGTGCTGGGTCTTCTCCCTGCTGCTCCCTCATCTCAGATGCTCTATCTGGGTCTCTGTCTGTCCTTATGTGTCCTCTCCCTCCTCCTCCTACTGCCATGTGACCTTTGAACTGTTGTAGTGATTTTCCTGGTTAAACTGCTCAGATTTCTGGGACATACCTGTGGCTCAGTCATGGGGGTGTGGTCAGGAAGCCAGGACTGAGCCAGGTGAGGCTCAGGTGGCGAAGACGCTGCCTTTACTGTGCTTCTCCTTTCTCTCTTCCCAGGGTCTGCAAACTGTTTCTGTAAATGACCAGAGAAGAACAGACATATATTTCTCTTTTTAATTATTTTTAAAAATATTATTATTACTATTATTATTTTTGTAGCACTGGAGATGAAACCCGGGGGAGCTCTACCATTAGTCTATATTTCCAGCCTGTTTTTATTTATTTTTTTTAATTTCCATACAGCTAAGTCCCTGAGGCTGGTCTTGAACTTCCGTCCTCAGCCTCCCAAGTAGCTGGGATTATAGGCACTCACCCCCATGCCTGGATTATCTATTTTTTAAAATTTATTCTTTAATTATAGGTGGACACAATATTTTTATTTTAATTTTATGTGGTGCCTCACGCTTGCTAGGTGAACACTCTATCTCTCTGAGCCACAACCCCAGCCCTATCTATTAAAAAAAAAACCCTTTAAAATACAAAAATGCTTCTCTACCCCCTGGATCTGCCAGCCCCTGATCTCTCCTACGGCTTCTGCTGAACCCCGACTTTGGTTCTCTTAGAGCTCCTCACGGTGACCTTGGCTTTTCCTACAGAGCTTCAGCTTTTCCCGCTCACTCCAGAGCCTCCCATGAGATCCCAAGTTGAGTTCCACCCCCTCACTTGACAGAGGAAGGGGCTGAGATGTGATGCCAAGCCATCCAGTGCACGGGCACCTTGCTAGGTCCTCTGGCCCCTGTGGCCGTGGGTGCCATCTGTCCCTCCAGATGCTGTGCTGTGCTGTGGACTCTGGGCTGGAGGCCACAGCTTTTGCTTGTCTGTAGGACCTGCCTCAGCTGAGGACTGTCTCATCCTTTCCAGGGCAGCCAGCATCTGCTGACTTGTCCCTCACACCAGGTTAAAGTCATTTTGCTGGTTGTCCCAACTCCAGAGTCTTCCCTGGCTGAGGCTTTGTGGTGATTGCATTGCAGCCTGATGCCTCCGTCTACCCAGTGCAGCTTCCTTAGTACAACTACTACTATCCTCAGTTTTCAGATCAAGAATTGGAAGCTCGAGAGGTTCAGCGAATTGCCCGATGTCACACAGCACATGAGCTGTAGAATCAGGATGCAAATCCAAATCTTTCTGCATCCACATCTCACTCTTTCCATCCTCTTGGACCTGTTATCTTGACAATCCTCACCCTCTGTTTTAGGGGCAAGTTTGACCCCCAGGACATGGACAAGAATGTGAATGCCATTCAGACAGTGTCTGGGATCCTGCAGGGGCCCTTTGACCTGGGCAATCAGCTACTGGGAATGAAAGGCGTCATGGAGATGATGGTGGCGCTGTGTGGCTCAGAGCGCGAGGCTGACCAGCTGGTGGCCGTGGAGGCCCTCATCCACGCCTCCACCAAGCTCAGCCGCGCCACCTTCATCATCACCAATGGTGTGTCATTGCTCAAAAGCATCTACAAGACCACCAAGAATGAGAAGATCAAGATCCGCACACTGGTGGTGAGTAGGCTGGGCACCACCTGCCCAAGACCAGCCACCGTGCTGAGCATCGAGCACCCCAGGAGGAACGAGGGGTCTCTCCATTCTAGAGGAGAATGCAGAGCACCCCTATGGGCACCTGCAGAGCAAAGTGACATGGGGACAGAGATTCAGAATGGCAGGCCCTGCATTTAACCCTGGCCATGTTTTCCTTATGAGTTTTGTCCAGAAATCATTTTCAGAATGAACGCTAAAAAGCCAGTTTCCTCAACCAGCGTGTGTGTGGCAGTTAAGCCTGTTTCCTTTCTTCCATTTTCATTTTACTGAAATTACTTCCATGGGTCTCTTCTTTATCTTGTGAACAATTACACAAAAAATTGGAGTAATTTCTTATTCACATCAATTTTTTTTAAACTGATCTTTGCCTGTGATGTAGTGACTTTCTTTATATGGAAGATTTTTTTTCCTACAAGAGTTTAATTTTTCCTGGGTTACATTTTGCACATTTGAATTGGTCCCTCATATGACATGACTTTCCTGCAGTTTTCTGTGCCCTAACTAGGCTGCCCACTGCAGTTGCACATGGTTACCATCCTCTCATGTGGATTTTTCAAACTACCTGTGAGGTTTTCTGGCCACAGGGACTTATTAGAGCAAGGCCTGTCCCCAAACCATGTCCCTGATCCTGCATGTGTCTGCACCTCCACAGGGCCTCTGCAAGCTCGGCTCTGCAGGGGGCACAGACTATGGTCTCAGGCAGTTTGCTGAAGGATCCACAGAGAAGCTGGCCAAGCAGTGTCGCAAGTAAGAGGGTCATTTCCAGCCCCTCCTCATGGGCTTCTGTGTAGGGCCCTCTGGGCTGCACTCCGGTGGGTGGGGAAAGGCCCCTCACCTGCTCTCCACCACCCTGAGGTCGCTTCACTCTTTACTGGAGCCCTGTCACCTTCCCCAGCAGCTCTCCCTCCCCACTTCCAGGTGGCTGTGCAATGCAGCCATAGACACCCGCACCCGGCGCTGGGCGGTGGAGGGCCTGGCCTACCTCACCCTGGATGCTGATGTGAAGGACGACTTTGTCCAGGACATCCCGGCTCTGCAGGCCATGTTTGAGCTGGCGAAGGCAAGTGTGGCCCTGACCTCCAACGTTGGGGAAGGTCTACCGGATTCAGGGTCTTCCAGCCCTCCTGTAAATCTGGTGGGCCATTTCCCTCTTTCTGTCCCTCATCTTACCTGGCTGAAAGTGAATCCACGTGCCTTCCAGGCAGAGGGAAGATGGCATATTTGCCCATGGCCATGAGTGAGGAGGTCCCGAGGGCGTTGGGGCAGTGCTTCACTCCCTCTGGAAGTGCGGGAAGGATTTCCAGTAGAGCCAGAGCAGAGCTCCAGCTCCCACCCAAGTGCCCACTCCAGGTAGTGGGATGTGAGTGCGCTGGGCTTTTGAAAGGCACCAAGCAAGGTGCTGGGTGAGAAGCCACTGGCCTACTGTTGTGGTGCTGCTGGGGGTTCAGGAGACATTTCTGCCACCCTCTAAGAGCAGAGCCGGTTCCCCTCCTGTGCCACCTGTACTTCTCCAAGCCGAGCCCCACCAGCCACACTCCTTCCAAGCCAATTTGCTCACCATGTCAGGGAGCTGTCTTGGAAGCAGAGTTCGGTTCCAAAGTTCCTTTCTGCCTTCCCCCCTAACCCGGTGTCTGCAGACCAGTGACAAGACCATTCTGTACTCAGTGGCCACCACACTGGTGAACTGCACCAACAGCTATGATGTCAAGGAGGTCATCCCCGAGCTGGTGCAGCTGGCCAAGTTCTCCAAGCAGCACGTGCCTGAGGAGCACCCCAAGGTGGGTACAGGATGCCCCTGGAGGGGGGACTGTGCCCCCAGACCTCCCAAACAGGTGGAATGGGAAAACCCTGCGTGCAGGCAGCTGTGTGGAATGTGTTTGGGAGGATTTGGGATAAAATACTGATCAACTGAGGATGATAATGGTAAGTTTCTCCACCAGATGGCGCTCATGCTTTTCCTTTGTTTTCTGTCTTGGGAGAAAAAACAAGTTTTAGAGTTTAATTTGACACAGAGCCTGGATGAACATGGTTTTCATATGTGGAATCTAGAGAGGACTAAAAGGGGAAAAGTAGGTGGGACCTCATGAAAATAGGAGAGAGACAAGTAAGGAGAGGAAGGGGGCCCCGAGGAAGGAGGAGGGGAGGGCAAGGGAAGGTCCTGGGGATTGATTTTATGTTGTTGATTTCATAGATATGAGACAGCTTTATATCATACTTCCAAGACTTATAAAGATTTGATTTTCTGGGATATCTGGATTTGGGGATGGGTGTTTATGAATAATGAGAGGAGGGATGGGGTCAGCATGAGCCCAGGTGTCACAAATCTCCTTGGGAGCCTAATACAAGAATATGATTTACATGTTATTTGCATATAAATACATACAGAAATATTCCCAGCCAATAACATAATTTAGATTTTTTAAATGATCAAGGTGATAATCCTAGGTTGCAAGACTGTTGTAGGAAGATAGCAGGAAACAGTTTTATTTGGCTGCAGCCAGGTTCAGAGGGCACAGCTTTTGCTGTAATCAATTCATTCCCTGAACCCCCGAGTTCAGGTAGTTTTAGAATTTTATAACCAGAATGTAGGTGAACGGGCTCAGAAATTCACAGACTGCATAAGTTCACATAAAAGCAGCTTTTTCTTTCACTGTTCTGGGCAAGTTAATCCTTCAAGGACAACACCTGAGAAGGGGAGAACTTCTTCTCCCCTTTCTTTCCTCCCCCTGCCAGCTGTTACCATGGAGCCCAATTGGTAACTTCTCTTATTTCAAAAACGTAGACATCTCTGTGAACTCAGCTCAAGGCCAGAGGCCTTGATAAAGAATTTGTCTTTTTTTTTTTTTTAAATCACACTTTGCAAACACACTTCTACAAACTACTACACTGGATACATATTTATGAAAAACAAGTAAAAGGGCATTCAGCACCTGGAGTGCTGATTTCTTCCTGGGCAGTGGCCAAGTATAATACAGCAACAGGAAAATAGGAAGTTTAACTACATTGAACTTTTTTTTTGTAGAGACTCCTTTGCTTATAGTCTTAAAATCAATTATGGTGAAGATTTCTGGAGAAGCTTCGGTAAGATTCTATTTTTGTGGAGGAGGAGGTGCCACTACAAAACCAACAAAAGTGTGCAATAGAGAAAATAACCACTGCTCATAATGTGTCCCTATGACCACCGTTGGCATTTTAGTATGTTGTGCTACCCACCAGATAAAACTGTGGTTTTTCTGTGCATCTTTTTTCTTTTTTTTTAAATTAAACTCTATTTAAATTTTTATTGGCACGATATACATATACATAATAGTGGGATTTTTTTTCTTCCTATAGTTATAATCAGAATGTAGTTATCATGTTGTCTGATTTTGGAAAGATAATTTGTTCAGGGGAAAGGAACACTCACACTGTGTGTGATTGTAAATGAGTACAATCACTGTGGAGATCAGTATGATGTTCCTTAAAAATCTAGGAATGGGACTACCATATGACCCAGTGAAACCATACTCTTGGGATACAGGCATACCCAGGTTTATAGCAACACGATTCACAGTAGCCAAGTTATGGACCCAGCGTAGGTGTCTGTCAACAGATGAATGGATAAAGAAAATGTATATACATGCAAAGGAGTATCTTCAGCCATAAAGAAGAACAAAATCATGTCAATTACAGGAAAATGGATGGAACTTGAGAGCACTATGTTAATCAAAATAAGTCAAACTTATTTTGTCAAAGGTCATATGTTTTCTTTCATTTGTGGAAAGTAGAGAGAGAAAAAAAAAGGAGGAAAAGGGGGGGATCTCATGAAAATAGAAGGGAGACTAGTAAGAGGAAGAAGGGGACCAGGAGGAAGAAGGAAGGGAGGGAAAAGGAAGGTTCTAGGGAACTAAATTGACCACATTATGCCATGCGCATGTATGAATGTGTCACAGTGAATCCCACTGTTCTGTATAATTGTAACACACCAAGAAAAATTAAAGCATATGGTGTGATGTGGGTTGGTTACATGACAATATTATGCCATTCTATATAAGAGACTTGAGAACAAGATACTTTGTGTATTTTGCACATGGCCTCCCATTCTCTGAACTGTTTTTAAAAGTTGCAGGTGCACTTCACCCAGGCAAGGGTGCACAGCGTGTTCTGCTGCTGTGAAGGTCCCCTGTGCCTAGAGGTGTCACATGATGTTCATCTCTTCCCCGCCAATCCCCATTCCAAGGACCAACCTGGGGTTGACTTTGGGTTTCCATCAAAGCCCACTCCATGGCTGTCAGCTTCACCTGCTGTCCCCATTTACTCCTGTCTATATCCCCCTCCCCGTCCCCCAATGGAAAGCCAACCTTTTGCAAGAAAGTCACTGTATGTGTCATCTAGTGCTTGGGATCATCCCCTTTTCACTTCACTCCTCTGAGAAAGAGTTGAGTCTTTGATGTTGATTTTCTTACAGCATCAGCTCGGCAGGCTCTGTGCTGGGAGTAGGTTGGGCAAAGCAGAGAAGAACTTCTTACCTGATGGTCGTTGTTTCGGCAAAGGGAACCTAGAGAAGTGCGTTACTTCCTTTTGCTTCTCTAACACCTCGCTGCAAACACAGTGGCCTGAAAACCACATTTGTTATCTTACAGCTCTGGAGGCCGGAAGTCAGAGCATCTGTCCCCCTGGGCTGACGTCCAGGGGTCTGCAGGGTTGGCTCCTTCTGGAGTCTCTAGGGGAGAATCTTATTCCTTGACTTTTTCAACTTCTAGAGGCCACCTACATTCTTTGGTTGGGACCTTGAATCATTTTAACCTTTCTGTTTTCACACCTCCTAGTATTAACCCTGAGCTTACTGTGCTGTGGTTGCATCATGATTATTTGGGGCCTACCTACATTATCCAGGATTATCTCCCCTTCCCCAGTTCACTTGATCATCTTGGCAAAGTCCCTTTTGACATGTGAGGTTACACATTCTCAGGTTCTAGGGATTGGGCTGTGGTCATCTGGGAGGGCCATTAGTGAGCCTACCCTAAGAAGTCAGAAACGTACCATCTGAAGTTCCAGTACAGATCTGCCTGGTGCCCAGGCCCCTTCTCCATTGCCAACTCTCCCATCCCTCAGGACAAGAAGGACTTTGTGGACATGCGGGTGAAGAGGCTCCTGAAGGCAGGTGTCATCTCCGCTCTCTCCTGCATGGTGAGAGCAGACAGTGCCATCCTCACTGACCAGACCAAGGAGCTGCTGGCCAGGTGCCACTGCAGGGGGCCAGGGGCTGGGCCCGAGGGGACTGGAGGGCAGGAGGCTGGACAGGGAGATGGAAATGGTGGGGGCCTACATGAGGGACTGAGTGAGCCACTGGGTGTCCTAGAGACTGAAGGGGACCAACAATGAAAATGACATGATGGGGCAGATGTGACAGGTGGAAGCTTGTGTCAGAAGGTGTTCATTCTGGTTGCCTTGTTCCCAGAGATCAAAGGCACAAAGTGCAGCCTACTGGGCATGATCAGGTCCAGTGCAACAGGTGCCCTGTGGGGAGACACAGCGGGTGGGGACATGAACAATGGCACCCAAGCAGCCAGACTGGAGGGCCAGGGCTCGGCAGCCAGGAAGGCCTGGTGGAGGTGACAGCTGAGCCCTGATGGAAGAAAAGGAGCCACTCTAATGTGGAGGAGGGAAAGGCTTCAGGCCTGGAAACAGCATCTGCAGAGACACCAAGGACAGAGGAGATTCCTCTAGAGCATGGAAGCCCAGGAGGGAATCTTGCTCACAGGGAATTAGGAGACCGTGGAGGTGGAGTTTCTCTTGGGTGGCGAGGGGCACCAAGGAGCCCCTGGCAGTGCCCATAAGCAGGAGTGGGGTGGCTCTTTGCAGCCTTGCTTGGCCTCACTTTCTTCCGTGCCACTTAACATCATCACAGCGTCTTCCCAAGGTGGCTCATCGTGCATTGTGGGGCAGGAGCACACGGGGTGCACTCTCCGGGCTTTCCCTGTTCACCCTGGGGCTTCCTGGGCTCTGGCTGCTGGTCTGCGATGGGAGAGGCTGCTGGCAGTTCAAATGCTCTCCTTTATCCTTGGCCCTGCAGGGTGTTCCTGGCGCTGTGTGACAACCCAAAGGACCGAGGCACCATTGTGGCTCAAGGTGGTGGCAAGGTAATGGGTCAGGATAAAGTCTTTGCTTTCCTAGAAGGTGATCTGCTTCACAGGAGCACACAAACTGTGCGTGTGTTTGTGTGTGTGTGTTCGTGCGTACTTGTGTGGGTGTGCTCATGTACCCCTAACCTGGCCCAAGAATCCTGTATCCCTAACCCAACCCAACCCAACCTCCTTGAATATGGCAACTCAGTTATTTGCACTGTCTGGGCTCATGGCCCCAAACCAATATCTGCTTGATTGGCTGGTGCCATGGATGTACTCGGGAATGTCTTTATCTTCCTTGCTATTGGAAGGAAGCCTGGTACAAAGATGGAGACTGTGGACTTTCCTGTAGACGAGAGTTGAGTCTTGCTGTGTAACCTGGGGCAGATGCTTACTCTCACTGAGCCACAATTTCTTCCTCTGTAAAATGGAGGCAGGACCCACACACTCACATTTCAGAATGTCACCAGGATTACATAAAATACATGCAAAGCTCACAGTTGGTGCTCAATAAGTGTCTGCTGTTATGATTAGGTGTGGCTTAGACAGAAAGTAAGGAATCCATTTATTATTTCTCCAAAAATTGAAGGAACCTGTGGATGGGTGGGCAGAAGTGGGGTTGAAGACCTTGATGATTGGGACCCAGGGGAATGAATCTATGGCTGAGTAGTTGTTTTCCATGATGCTCAAGGGCTGATTATGTCGCAGAGTCTCCGTGAACCTCTGATGGTTCACGGAGAGACAGACAGACAGCAGCTGGGGTGGAAAGATGGGAGAGGGCTCTGGATCTGTGGCCTAGGTGACTGTGCCCTTTCTTGCAGGCCCTGATCCCGCTGGCTTTGGAGGGCACGGATGTGGGCAAGGTGAAGGCGGCCCACGCTCTGGCCAAGATCGCGGCTGTCTCTAACCCGGACATCGCCTTCCCTGGCGAGCGGGTGGGTATTTGGGATGAGTGGGGTGGGGCAGAGGGAGGAGTCTCCCCTGCTCTCATCACCCCAGCCTGGGAGAGAGACCTGGTGCTGTCTCAGGGTGGGTGATGATTCACCTGGATGCCTGGCCTGGCTGTGCCTGTGACATTCAGGACTGACCCCTCAGAAATGTTGCAAAGTAAAGGCAACATTCCTGCCTCTGAGGATCATTGTGCAGATGAGGTCCGACAACACAGGGAAGTGCTTTGGAAATTTAAGGCTGGCCACCTACAAATGCAGAGAATGGAGGGAGATGTGGCCCTTGCCCCACCTGATCCGCAACCTCTCCCCACAGGTCTATGAGGTGGTGCGGCCCCTTGTGGGTCTCCTGGACACGCAGAGGGACGGGCTGCAGAACTACGAGGCTCTCCTGGGCCTCACAAACCTGTCTGGGCGGAGTGACAAACTCCGGTGAGTGGGGTGGGGTGGAAAGGGCAGGGGTGGGGAGAGGTGCCCCAAAAAGTTGGGTTGGAATTTCACAGGTCATGTGCTCAAGCTGCTGTGCTCAGAGGACAGCATCAGAGGCACTGGGTAGAACCACAGCGGGAGGGGTTTGAGTGGGAGGAAGGAAAGACCACACAGAGACTGTGCGAAGCCCAAGGACTAGCAAAAGGGATCTCCAGTGGGGTGGCGTGTT